ACTAACTGGCAGGATGAGGAGAGGCAGCAAAGATTTCCCCCAAAGGGGGAGCAGCTGGATCTTGAGAGATAGTTGGGAATTTTATAATCAGGACTGGGAGTAGGGGCTCAGGGGTCCAGGCAGGGGTAACACTGTGTGGGAAGGAAGGAAGCAGGAAAGAGCATCCACAGATGGATGAGGTTGACTTAGCTGGTTTGGCTGGCAGGGCAGGTGCCACTTGCCCCCCCCCTCTCCGCCCCCTATAGTTCCACATTCCAGGTGTATCTTTCCCTGGGCTGTTCTCTCCCTAACACTCAGGGATCAATCATACTCTGTCAAGACTTGAAAGATAAGCTAACTTCACGCATTCAGGATGAGATCTGAGGTACAGTGGGAGCATAAAATCTGTGCATAATGACAGGAACGGAGGAGAGAGGGCTGGTGGGAATGACCATCACCATCACCATCACCATCATCATACTTAGAGACAGGGTCTCATGTATCCCAGGTTGGCTTTGAACTCACTGTGGAATTTTGAACTAGGATCCTCTTGCCTCCAGTTCCCAAGTACTTGGATTATAGGCATGAGCTATTTACACCCAGTTTATGTGGTAAATTCCACTCGGGGCTTCTGTCATGCTGGAGAAACACGTCACCAACTAAATTATATCCCCAGACTGGACATGACTCATTTGGTGCCCAGACACTCAGGTGTGCTGGTCCAAGGAACTGGACATTACATCATAGAAAGAGAGGGTGACAGGTTTTGTGGCTAGCTAGATACACAGGTGATAGAACAAAGAAGAGAAATAAGACAGAGTTCAGAAGATGGCACAGTGGAGATGGTTCAGGGGATGAGATCACTGGCTGATCTTCCAGAAGACCCAGCTTCGATTCCCAGTACCCACATGGCAGCTCACAGCCATCTATAACTCTGATTCCATTTTGTTTGTTTGTTTGTTTGTTTGTTTTGTTTTGTCTTTTTGCTTCCAGGGTATAGACATGCAAGTGGTGCACAGACATACATTCGGGTAAAACACCCATACATACGAAATACATTTTTAAAAGTTTGAGAGAGGGAGAGAGAAAGAGAGAGAAAAAATAAGAACACACAGAAGGTGATATTGAATCCAGGTGTGAAATGGAAGGCCATGAACACAGAGGTAGCCCCCCCCCCCCCCCGGGGGGGGGGGGGGTGGGGGGCTGTGTGAGCTTCAGTAGCCATTTTTATGATGGCATCAAGTGACATGGCCAAGTCACATGGCCAAGTGCTTTTCTCAGATTTCTGACCTGTAGAGAGGTTCCATCAGTCAAGATAAAGAATCTGAAAGCTTTTAAAGAGCGAGTCTGGGGAACGACAGTTAAGTCTCTTGCTTCTTAGAGGCAGGACGGACCAGAGGACAGCTGGTTCAGTGGTTTGAAGTGCAGGTGGAAGGGCAACTGGGCAGAACCCTGGGGTGAAGCTGTCTGAAGGAGACATTGTTCATTTCGCCAAATACAACATGTGGTACTGTGGGCCACGAGAAGAGTTTCGAATACAACCATGTACTCAGGCTCATTAGACATGAAAAGTGTCTCTGAGGATGGCTGCAGAAGGCACGTTTCCTTCTTGCCTGTTAAGTTTGTGCTGTGTTTCCTGGGCTTTCTCTCATGTCTGACATACAACTGAGAACATCCTCCTTCCCTTTATCTTTCTTGAGATTACTCGAAAGGTTCAAACAGCATCCTAGGATTTTCTAAACACAATAATTGATTTACCTGTGTTTTTGTTTTAATCCTGCCCGTGCTTAAATATGACAAGCTTGGTTAGAATAGTCCAAGAAGTGTCTGTGTGTGTGTGGGGGGGGGGTTGAAAAAAAAGAAAGAAAAATAGGGAGGTGAAAGCTTGTGGAAATTACCAATCTTAGGAATTAAAAACTGGGGAGAATAGAGGAAAATTCATATAGGCCCTTTCAAAAGTCATTTTTCTCTCTATTTTTGTGTGTGTGGCTCACAGCCATGATTGTAGTATCTCAACTGACTGCTAAAACATGTATTTTTAAGCTAATATTTTAAAGGAAATATCTTAAATATTTCAGCAGATGTTTAAAATATTCAGGAGATATTTCAGATATTTGAGTATTTAAGAAACATGGATCTGCATGAAGAACCATTATATTTCAATACCTTGGGAATTAAAACTTAGAACAAAGGATATAATTATAAAATTTGACTTTAATATGCATGTCAGAAGTGCCAACCGACATTTTATATCATGAAGAATTACAAAATTCTAATTAAAAGTCAATGATAATATCTTCATTCCCTATGAGCCTGCATAGAATCCCTTAGAAAGTTCCTATCTGAAGTAGGGAATTTATGGGAAAAATTCCAGACACCATTGGATTCATATAAAGTGTCTTGGGTCTCCTTATTTAGACGTATGAAGTTCAAATCTTCTCTGGTCCTATTTTAGTGAAATCTGAGTAATACATTTTTTCCCTCAGAAACAGTGGTGTTTGATATTTCTTTTTTTGGGGGGACTTTCCAAGTTAACCTTGGGTTTTACACCTCTTTTCATATACAGGCAGCCTCCTAACATCAGTCACTTTGCTTTGGGGTATATGTAGAACTCCTTTAGGAAGGTGGTCCACAGCCAAGCTTTAGTGCTTAAGAGATTTTTTTTCTTTTAGAAAGAGCCTGGGTAGGAAATAAAGTTGAATGCAAACACAGACTTCACCCATGGTTTACAGTATTTCCAGTGACTCCTGGGAGACCTGAGTTTGTCACCCCTCAATAAATTGGTCCCCATTTGTGAATAGTATCTGTCATTGAACACATGCACTAAGTGTTGTTCCAGGTAGAGCTGGAAGTCAATTCAGTCTTGTGGGCAGTGGTTCTAATTAATAAAACCAGTACTTTAGCAGAGCATCATGGCTTATAATGAAAGAAGTCATGTGGGTCTGAAGCCTACTGAGGACAGCCCTATTAAGATTCACTCTGAAACACAAAATTAATTTCCTGGACTTAACAAAGTAACAGTGGGAAGACTTCCCTTCCACACAAGCCTGGAGGGTGGGCGCTTGGCCCCATGGACACCCAACAGCTATGTGGGCTGATTAACATGTATATAATTAATATGTGCCAACTAGAAAGGCAAAGGCAGTTTGATTCGACTCTGCACTACTGTGGAATATTTTTTTTCCCTGTGTCTATTATGTACGCTTGTTTTTTTTTTTCTGTTTTTTTTTTTTTTGTTTTTTTTTTTTTTTTTTTTTTTTGGATCTAGTCTTCTCCGGGCACCACCCTCTTTGGGTTTAGGGTCTCTGCTTCCTGTTATAACAGACACCATCATGTAAGAAAGCTAGCCCTACTCCAACTAGATTTCCTTCCTGTTCACATCACCATTTTAAAGACACATTTTTCACCCCATGGTTAGGAACATGGTAAATAATTGAGGCGATCCATCAAGGGACATGTTCCTGATAATGAAAAATTGCATAACTCAGTGCCAGTCAATTAAAAACCACAAACTTAGGATCCTTTTTCTCAGTGAAGATTGATTTATTAATATAGGAGCTCCGTATCTAATACAACAGGCTGTGGGGGTGTGAATCTTTTTTTTAAGTTCTAAAAATGCAGTTATAGTTTGACAATGAACTTGAGAAGGAATTACACAATACCAAAGTCAGTCAGTTCTTTGAAATGTTTTCTTTCTTTATCGATGTCTGAGGGGCCAGGGTTTTGTAACAACTTTAGGAATAACATCCTAGGAGGGGGGATACTTATTTTCCTTCCAGGATTTTAAACCAACCTTCTTTGGTTTTGCCTATACAATAAAACTCTACAAATTACCAAAAACAGTTCAGGATATTTTCTTTTGTTAAACTAAATATTTGCACACTATCTGGATAAGAGAATTAAAATATTTTTATTATCTGGCTGCCTGGTTAGGACACAGGCAATATGGTTCATAGAATGTGGTAACTTCTACAACTGCATTTTTTTTTTTTTTTTGGTCATGTAATGAGCAGTGGTTTTATTTAGAAGTGTCAAATTCTGCTTCAGTGGGCCAAGGGAAAAATACGAACTCTGAGGAACAGGATCTCCAAACACATTTCTTTCAGTGTTTTTTGTATGCTCAAATATAAATTTAAACACCAGTATCTCTTCTAACACCAGAAACATCTAAGCATTAATTTTTTTCTTAACGATTCAGAGTCTAGCAATGTGAGTTTTAGACACTGCCTAACAGCTTAGGTAGGGTTCATCAGTCAGGCATGACACACACAGTCCCAGGGAAGGACACCCATGTGACACAATTCCTCTGAAATTAAACTGCCAAAGAAAAGGAGGAATTGTGCCCTTTTTAATAACAAAGAATGCAATCCTTAGAATTCTTCAGATTTGGCATTCCCCCAGTGTTCTAGTGTTTTCCTCCTGATGTGTGAGAAGAATGAGTAATAAAAAAAAAGCACAAATGTCATCCAAAGTCCTTTGACTTTATAAGGTTCAACATCAGATACATCAAATTCTCAAACCGCCAGAGACCAGGGAAGGAGCTGAAGGTAACTAAGCAGACACTGGTGCTGGCGGGGAGGACACAGGGTGTAAGAAACCCTCGGTTAATTTTTAACCTACTCATTTTGCTCATTTCTGTTGAGGTATTACCCCTTTGACTGACAGCTAGAGACTGTGACATTTCATATCCCCATAAATATTTGACTTTGACTTCATAAAAAGTCCCTTGGGTCCATAATACTTTTATTCTTGTATAATCTGAAACAAATCCTTTCCTTTTAAAAATCAAACAGACCACGTTTACACACAGTTCACTATTTACAAAGCACCCAATTAAATCCTACTTAATTCTCCCACTCTAAAAATTCCATCTAACTGGTATGTAAAATACCTGCTACATTAAATGTGTGATGTTCGCAAACCCTGGAGTTAACAGCTCACCTAGAAAATACGACTTTCCCGGAAGGGAAGGGTCCTAAATCAATTCTATAGTGTTAAAGAAATCACACTAGAAGTCACAGTACAAGACAGATAAATCTACTTTTAATTTTCACATGTAAAAGTTACACATCACATGAAATTGGACAGGAGCTTAGTGGTAACTGACATCGCTATAGTGAAAATCATTTTTATAAAAAAATAATCTAGATGTGGTCATCAGAATTTTTGGTCTACGTAAGTTATGTTTGAAGATCGACTTTTATCCCTGCTTGAAGGATTTTCCATTATGCTTTTATTTTTCTTCTTCTACTGATGCCTATTAATATTCTTTGGAGGAAGGAGGGCAGAAAATGTCCGTTTCCAAGAGTTTGTCCTTTGGTAGCAAGCAGAGAACATTTTTCATTTCTATGACTTAAATAATCTGTACAGATATGAAACTTCATGACATTATGCTTTAGTGTAAAATGAAGAACGACAAGCATTTCCACTTTGATAAGAGCAGATTCTGTAGACTCCTTAAAGAGCCAAGCATTTCTCCATCCTATATGCAAAATCACTCAGAATCTATTTTTTGACCTCAATTCAAAAAGAAAAAAAAAACACACACTTAATTTTTTATATATATTACACTATAAAACCCTGCACTTAAAAACAGATAGCGTATGTTTTCAATATGTACACTTCCAATACAAAGGTTTTCATCTAGGTTAAAGAAAACACATCTGAATGGACTCAGGAGTTTATTCTGTGATTAAACATCTCATGCACTCATGCAAGACCAGTACCTAGAGCTGTTACTTCCAAGCCTCAGATACTGCATACTGGGCAAAACAAAAAACAAATCAACAGCCTGGCCAAACAGAAAACACATCGAGATATTAAGAGCTCTGCAAGGGAGCTGAAAAATAATTTTTCCAAAAGAAATATTCCCATAGATTAAAAAAACACACACATAATATTTACAAAAAATATTTAATTAAAAATATCTTATAATTACAGTAGTCTATTAAAGCGCATATACTTTCTCACACTTTATAGAACATCTCTATATATACAGGGTATGAAATGTCACTCACTTATCTATACAATATGTAACATTCTCGCAGAGAAAAAGTTCCCTGCCCTGTTATAATCATCTATTTTAAACAATAGATGTAAAACAACGTATCTACAATGCTCTGGTATATTAGTAAAGCTTCAAAAACAAAACAGTTCCCTTGTCACAATGTAGCCTCTACAGTTGGATTCACTATTGGTCTTCTACTTAGCAGTCCTGTCCTGTCACACTTAAGCTTCCAAGTTTAACTACACCTCCAAAAGGGTGATAAAAATAACCACAGAAATGTACAATTCACAGCGGTTATGAAAGAAACAAAAGAGAATACGTACGGAGAAAGCTTGTGAACGTGCAAAAAATTAAAAGTGAATGAAAGTTTTATTTTTTTTTTCCTCTCTCTCTCATTCTCGGAATGACGAGACGAGACAACGTTTCTAGATTTGCTGAAGGTTGGTTGTTTTTCCCCCTTTCCTCCGGTGTCTTTTTTCTCTTATTTTCTGCTCTGGCCCTCCCTTTCTAGGGCTCCTGGCTCGCTCGTGCTCGGGCGGCAGCACACCTGTGGAAGAGGAATGAATAGAGGGGGTGTGTGAACCAGCTCGCTGCAGACTAACTGGCGCCACCGACCAAACTCAAGACACGCATGATCAACAACCCAAAACAAACCGCCGGGTCAGACAACACCCGCAGCCCGCAGCTCAGCCAAGAGCCGAGGAGGCAAATGCGGGCTGGGAAAGGCCAGGGGATGCATTCCGGGGGCGATCTGCCCGCATCTCTTTTTGTGGGTGTCAGGCCACTTTGCTGGGGAGGAGGGGTAGGCAGGAGGGCTGGGAGAACTCGGGACACCGGGGCATTCCACGCCCACGAGGGTGCCCTCCCTCAGAGGTAGAGGGGACCAGCCACGCCTGTGGGTCACAGCCGAGAGCAACGCGGGGCGGCGGGGACCGCAACTGAGAGGAGCCTCGGCAGTGACCCCCCGAGTTGGAAAGTGCGGACTGCCTCACTGAGTGGCAGAGGAGGTGTGGGTGTCCACGGGATTTACACTCGGAAATGCTGGCAGACAAAGATCGCCGTGGTGGGGGCCTGGCACTGGTAGTCCCCGGGGAGGTGGAGGTGACCCGCCATCCAATTCGGGACCTGAGCGCTCACCTGGCCAGCGCGGCTCAGCGGCACAGAATGCTGTCACCCTGCTTGTTCACGGCGCCGGCCTGGAACAGCAACCCAACACCAAAGGGAAGATTAGGGTGTGCGGACGATGCTGTCGCCACCGCCCGGGAGCCGTCCTGGGAAACTAGACTGGCCAGCAGAGTCCCCACCCCAGTCCTAAGCTGGGGAAGCCCCCTGAGCTGTCAGGGACAGTCCCGGAGACTCACGGCACCGAGTCCCGAGCCGGCTCCCGCACGGGGACTTGACATCACCCAGCCCAGCAGGCGG